GCCCCGGCAGTGAACAAGGATTGGAGCTCAGGGAAAATCATCGGGTAGGACACAAGATTGCGTACACTTGGACTGGTACAGAGTCTGAGACAGGGTTCCTTAAGAAGATGCCATATTCTTTGAGAGGAGGATTGTTGTATACATCAGGGCACTCTGAATCAGCCTAATTTATGCCTCTAGAAGTGATATTTTCTTCCCATGTCAAAGCTTCATAACACCTGAGAAAATAAGTAGGAATGTCTTTGTGGTTATGAACTTTATGTGAATGATGACAATTTTGAGATACATGCCAAAATAAAATAGTCCTTATTTTCCTCATTCCTCTCAAGGTCGTGGTCTGGACTTGTTCAGGTCTAAAACCTGTAGCAGAGGGCCCGTGGGAGCCTCCCCCTCCCAAGGAGAGCAGAGTTCCCTTTGTTCCCTCTGGAGTCACTGCCGAGCGATACAGCTTAACACCAGCAGATGGCATGTGGCGTCAGGCTCCTGGGCACTTGAACCTGGGAAAGCCATCTTTTCTCTACCATAAGATTCTAAATTTTAGTTACGAATAAAAATGTGATTGTTTTAGCTATTAGGTATTGCGCTTGCATATACATTACTGACACTGTGTATAAAATAGATAACGAATGAGAACTCTACTCAATGCACTGTAGTGACCCGAATGGGAAGTCCAAAGGGGAGGAGATATGTGTACATATATGGCTGATACATTTTGCTGTACAGTAGAAACTAACACAACATTGTAAAGCAACCATACTCCAATAAAAATTAATTTTAAAAAAAGATACTGTGCTTGATCATCTAGCTGTGTCTTTCTATGATGTCCAGTTCACCCGTGGTAGAAACAGAACCAGATATAACTCAGACACCATCTCAGTCATTTCTTAAACTAGAAATGAATAAGGCTCGCCCTGTTCCTTGACTTGTCCAGGACATTCTTGGGAGCCTGATAAGATGCTGAGGAATGAAATAGCAGGAGTAGCAAACAATAGATTCTGGGGAGAAGAAAAGAGAAAAGAAGAGAACGAGAACACCTTCCCAAACATGTTCTGAGCCTGGAAGCAGATGTTCATCACAACCCCCTCCATTCTCCTTTCCCAGCCCAACAAAGATGGCTGGGACCAGAGTGGAGTTTCCTAGAATGCCTGCTGCTGGGGTATAGTTAGAGATGGTTGAAAGCATCACTTGGGGTTTTGAAAGTAGGTTATTCCCACACTTAGCAAAGAGAATTTAACTTAATCTCTTGTTTTCAGGCCAGCACCTTGGCCCTGAGCTCCTCTAGGCCTGGTATCCCCAGTCTGGAACTTCAACAGAGAAGAAACTTCTAGTCCTCTAAGGGGAGAGGAGGGAGGAAGGGACAAGCGGAAGTATAAATGCCTGGCTGCATGGGTGTGGATGAAGGAACCTAGAGGTCTACCTTCCACAGGTCTTCAACCAAATCATGTTTCAGCTCCCTGCTCCACCCTCACTTTCTATAGTACGTCGTGTCTCTAAGGCCTGAATCTTTCAGGGTCTCTTAGGAGCAAATTGCTCATTAGAAAAAAATCTTCTTTAGCAGGTACCTGTCATTCTATTAACCCCCTGCTCTACATGTTCATAGTTTCCCACATTGTTAGTCTTACTTTCCCAGGGAGGAAATTCCCAGCATCTCACGCTAGGGAGCAGGCATGTGACCTAAGGTCCACCAATCAAGCACATCCACGTGAAACTCTGGTTTGGACGTCGGCGACCCGAGGAAACAGACTGGGTTCTGACCACTGCGCATCCACGTTGCAGGCGAAAGTGGCGGCAAAGAGCAGTGGTGGCAGCAGCGTCCACATCGGGTCATTTCTGTGTGCCTAGGAGCCTAGCCTTGCGCTTCTTTTTCTCCAGACCTCCCGCTGAGTCACGGAGCTATGAATAACTCTTAATAAATGCCGCCTAAACCAGTGTGGATGGATTCTCTAGTTTGCAACTGAAAAGGGAAGGAAATAAAGAAAGAAAGAGAAAAGAAACTAATTTTAAAAATTGGTCCATGAAAGCAGGGTAAATCTAGGATCTATCAGACTCGAAAATGTGGAATTGGGCTTGGGGATGGGGGGCGCAGTTCAGCAAAGGAGGCAAGGTGTCTTTTGTTATGCACCAAGTACTAAAAGTAGCCAGTTCTGTAGGGACCCTCTAACTGTGGCCACAACCTAAGCTAGAGGGAAGCCCCATGGTGTGGAGCTTTGAAAGGCTGACAACGACAACTGCTTCTTTGTCCCCCAAAGAAGTAGTTAGAAACCATGACTTCAAAGTAGTCACCTTAGCTAGTGAGACCCCATGCTTTTCTCCCATTAATTAACAGCTCTCTGTAAGACATCTTGTTCAGACCCACTGGAAAACTTCAAGTTCAGTGGATGTCTCACCATAAGAAGCTATGACTTCAAATTGTTTCGAAGTGGGCATTGAGGAAGGACTAGGAAAGGACAGATGACTAATGTCAGAAGGAACAGGAGGAAATCTTCGGGTTTAAAGGCTGTTCACACAGGATCTTTGGCCATTGTCTACATGTACTTGCCGTTGACAGGAAGCAAGGAGAAGAGAAGCCAACTGAGATTTTTAGGAAACCACATTGTCAAAGATGCCTCAAGTCTGCCTGGTGAACACCTATGATTTTATCCTGAAAACAAGTCTCAGGCCTCTAGGTCCACACCAGCAGGAAGAAGTCTATGAAATCTGTATATCCCCCGCTAAAGCTACGTTCTTTATTACTTACCCAGGATGAATTCATATGGGATAATTTACAAGGAGATTACCCCAGAGGGCAGTTTCTAGAATCACCAACCAAGTAAGTGGACTGGGAGTCATTGCTGTCTCTATTCAGCTGGATTTGTTATTTGCTATTGCTTAATGACTGCTGAGTGTTTCTTAGTCTTCTACTTTTTAACCTGAAAGTTTATAAATCTTGGTTATCCTGTCTCTTCTCCACTGCTGTATAATGAGTGTGTTGGGAAATGACTCATCTTTGAGGTTTGGGCTTTCAGTAAATAACAGTTTAAAAACTAAGTGTTTTTTAAAGTCCTTACTATTTAAAATAGAAGATTATTCTGAAGAAGGAAGACCCTAGAATGAGAAGAAACGTGTTCTGGACTCAAAATATTATTCAGCTATATTAGCAAGGACTGAGGTCTTAAAGGGGCTCCAGATACTAGTAAGAATCATAGTGTTATCCTCTTTCTCATCTGTTGGATGTTTTTCTTTTTGAACATGTGGTTGATGAACTGGGAGAAGGGAAGTGGTCTAGAGAGAATTAGGGTGGGTGTGTAGATAGGATACAGGTGGCCATTCAAGATGGGGAATGGTCACCTGTGAACAGAAACCATGTTGATCTCTCTGTTCTGTTTGCCCCTCTTCACTGCTCCTTATCATGCCCTCCTACTTTGGCTCTATCAAAGTGGCCCCATCCTTCTCCTTCTCAACCCAAATCTACGGCATAGTTAATCCAGAGGACAGTTAAGGTGCAAATGAAAGTGGCTCAAACCCCTTTGCAGGTGTGGGGAAGGAGTTTGGATTAGGCAGTGGATGGGCTGGAGGTGGAGGTGAGAGGAGCTTGTGGCTTCCCTAATGAGCTCCGATTCAGAGCTCATACTTCTGCCAATCATCTCCAACCCAGAAGTGCTGTCTCATCCCTTTGGTTCCCTTAATACCTACTCAACCAACCAACCAACCAAATCAATCAAATCAGTCGATCAATCAGTCAAAACCAAGATCTTTGTGGGTGTAGCAGAAGGCAGAGGGAAGTCAAGGTCTTTTTCAAAGTAATGCAAATAACTTAAAAACCTCAGAATTCTCAAGGCTAGAGAGACTTGGCCATTTCTGCTAACTCAGGTTCTAACACTACCTTCCCCCCTCCCCTCCTATTGTTTCTTCGGTCCCTCGATCCTTCTCTTCCTGCCTACCTCTCAAGAGTAATCATCTCACCCTACTAATTGTGCCCATATTTGAACGCAGAACAATTCAGCCTTCACTCTATTCTCCCCTCTTCTTCCAGACTCTGGGTCTGATTTATCTTTTTACACTCAATAACCTATTAAGAAATTATAATAAAGACTATTCCTCCCTAAGAAGAATTCTGAGGTAGCTGTTAATTATCCTTTAACCCTCTTACACACAGTTAAAAGGGTTGTTGTTGTTTTGATTTTAGCTTTTACTTATTGTTAGAATGGCTATTGTTTTGGTAAATAGTACTCATAAAAATTTGTCCAAAAACTCAGAAAAGTACAAATAAGTGAAAAATTTGTAGCCTCTAAAACTCAGTATCTCTTAAGGACAGTCCCCACTTCTCCCATGTCTCATTCATATCTTTCAACCTCCCCTCTCTAAGCAAAGGATCATTGGCTTGACTTTTTAGGGCTGCCTCACTTAATTTTAGAGAAATATAGATCCTGTTTGAGATCCAAGGAGGCATTTGTCAGCATTAAGGGCCTCCCTTAGCTCCACCTATGCCCCCAATATTTAGCAGGTGTTCTTCATAGTTTGTGGTTTGGGATTGTAGCTGTTTCCTTGCTTCATTCGTGATACGGAGATTTTTTCCTTCTATTTTTGTTCCATGTATTGTTTTCATTGGACTTTTAGGAAGAGGAATGGCATAAGTGTTTTTACTCTGCTGTCTTTAACAAGAAGACCAAGGTTTTAAAGTAATTATGTGTCTGCTTTTAATTTTTTTACTTCAAAAAAACGTTACGAGAAGAAGGTATTCAAAACTCCAGTTAATTTTCAGTTGTTTAGGTGGCTGATAAAGAGGAGCTTCCCTGAACTGCAGTCAGTTCCTTTCTGAAGATGGCCTTCCCATGGCACTGGTACCCTGGTTAGAATTTTCCCAGGGAGAGATGGCCTAGCTCCCTGAGAGCTATCACCATAGATTGCCCATGCGGAGAGAGCAGACCGCAAATTACACCAGCTGCAAACACTTACATAGCACATGTAGGGAGGATACATGCCCAGAGAATCTGATGCCCAGAGACTGAGAGGACTCATACCTCAGCTGCAGAACAGCAGGAGCCTGCAGAGGAAGACAACCTGCGAGTTACACGTTCCTCCCCCTGCTCCATGAGGATCCATAAACTTCTCCATCATCCAGATGCCACCTTGAGAAGAAGGGAGAAGGGAGAGCTTCAGAAGGTAGAGAATTGTCTCTGACAGGGAACTTCAATGGTTGAACTGCATGAATACGCCCCCCCCTTTTTTTCACCCTGAAAGAGGCTGTTTAGCAAATTTATTTCTGCCGTCTGTAGGAATGAGAGCTTCAGAGTGAGATTAAATCAGTTATAGAAAACAAATACATAAGCTACTGTTTTGGTACATCTGATCTGTAAGATGTAAATCTTGACCCTACAACATTTGCGGTGTCATCTCCATCTTTCTTCAGGAAGCAGCCTGCTAGAATGAAAACTGCATGGGACTGGGAGCTGACCTCAGTGTAGTCCTGGCTCTGCCACAAACTAGCTGGCTGATGTTGGTTAAAACAATCTTCTAGTTCTAAATTTCATCAACTCTAAAAATGCAGGGGTTGGAGCAGATCCATGATTTTCAAAGGGTCTTTTTATTTATTTATTTTTTTAGCTGTGCCCTTTTACTTAGATGGACAATGTGTAAAACAGATACAGTTGGAGTTTGCTCTGGCAAGTGGGGAGGAGGTGTCTGGGACCACATGTTATGGGGAGCCCCTTGGGCGCCCCCAGGAGTTTCTAAGTCACTACTGAAGACTATGATCTCTGGTCCTTTTTGATTCTAATCCTCAATGATCCAATATCTGCCCAAGGCCAGAAGTAGCTGGCAGCAGCATGCAATCTGTTCTGTGGTCCACGGGCATCTGAGGAGTTTGGTGCTAACTTGTGTTTTGGGGGAGAAGACAATTATCTTACTGTTAAAACAAAAAAATTCCCGGAACTTCATGATGGGTAGAAGTTCCCCCATTTACAACCAGGGGGAAAAAAGCTTGAGGTAACCCATGAACTAAAAACTGGGTCACCATTGTGTGATTAACATGGCAGAGTCATGTCCAAGACTCAGCAACCATTTAGCATTTCATATACGCTGGGTACTCTCTCTGTCATCTGATTGAGTCCTGATAGCACCCCAAGAGGTAGGTATGATACTCATTTTACAGATAAGAAGAGCAGGTTAAGTAACTTGCTCAAATATCACACATTATTACAGAGAATAACAACTTTTTTAAAAAACATTTACTGTCATAAATAAGATGTTCACATATACTATCAGTGAACCCAAACCATGGAACTTCTCATCCCACAGAACCTACCGTTCAGTGACTCTCAGAGCATTTTTGCACATGAAATGGATAAGGAAAATGTTTGAGACAAACAATCTGAATTTTAAATGCAGACCAAAAATCCTTGCAGTGGTGAAGAAAGCCTGTGGGTATTTCAGGGAGGTTTACCAAGAAAGCAGGCATCTTCCCCTCCACTTTATGGACTTACATTTTAAGAAGCTCAGCCATTCCAGTCCATGCAGAAAAATACTCTCAGAGGAATATTTACAATGTGGATCTTATATTAAACATTTGGTTTTATAAACTTAAATATTTGTAAAAGCATATGTGGAATAAATTTTAGTCCACAAACTGAAGTGTGCAAAACATATCAATTTCTTTCTTTCTTTAAATCAGCTTAGTTTTCTGACTCTCAGGCACCATCCTTCCTCTGAGATGGCAAGAATTGCTATGTCCTCCTTGTTGGGAACCCCTCTCCTTCCGAGACTCACACCAGAACCCAGAAGGTTTACTTGGAATGAAGACAATTGAGGAAGGGCCTCTACTCTCCAGTCTTTTAAGGTACCATTGTTGTTGCTCTGTGGAGCCCACAGTGGGGCCCTGGATTTTGGCGGCACCATTTGGGGTTAGGAGACTTTGCAGAGGGTGCCCCCCTCTAGGCGCATCAAGAAGTCATCTCCTCTGGGCAGGGGTAGCTGCATGGCCATGTGACTGTGTAGTTTCACAGGGCTCCATGCTCAGCAGAGCCCTGAATTTGTTCTAGTGCTCTGCTGTGGCCATCTTGAAATTTGAACAAGGGCCACCATGGTTTCATTTTGCACTGAGTCCCCCAAATTGCATAGCTGATCCAGCTCCAGGTTTAAGTCACCGCCGCCTCTGCTCACCTTCTCTGCAGAGCCTGCAGTCTTGTTCCTCTACCTCCTTAAGATGAAGAGCTTCTCTCTCTGACTCTCTGTCCTCCAAAGCCTCATCCCTCTTCCTTAGAGTCTGGAGCACTTGTTATTTCTTCAGTGGCCATAGGCCTTTGCAACAACGCAAGAAGAACTACAGACTTTTCAGGGGCGTCTGCCTTCCGTCCTGCAAAAATCCCTGAGGCAAGGAAGCACACAAAGGACTGGTTCCTACTTGAAATGAGAAAAGAAGACAAAACAAGTATGTGGGGAGAAAAACAATACCTTATTTGTCAATAACTTATTATGTCACATGTATAGTTGTGTTTTAGTTAACCCTAAGTTATTTTCATGATCAGTTTTGATGATTTTGGCCTATAAAATGGGGTCTCTAGGACCAGAGCCCCAACACATATTGCTGCACCCATAAAAAGCAAGGCACAGAGATCTAAAATGGGTTTCGCTATTAGTAGAGCGATCATATACATTCTAGCTTAAACTGGGACATTTTTGAAAGGGACACTATTAATGGTTACACAGGAGCATTAAGAGTGAACTGGGGCCACTATGGACACACAGGGATACATGGTCCCCCCTGTACAGAGTCAGGATTTGAACAAGTCTGTGTGGAGCCCACTGTCTTTTGATATTAATTAGAATAATCTGTAGCCAGTTCAACCAACTGCCATGAGTGCTTTATCTCACATCCATTCAGTTGTGGTCCTGTTGACATGGCCTGAGAAAGACTAGGTTCACAACCAGAGAATTTTATTCATGAAAAGCCCAAGAGCTGCATTCCTCAGTTGCAATTGGCCAGTGCTCCAGGCATGAATGGGGGAAGTTTCATCTTCAATATTTACTAAAAACAGACGCTGAAGTTTGAGAAGCAAATGTAAAGTGCTCATTCCAAAAGCCTTTTTATATACATGTTAAATCAGTTTGTGGGAAAAAGACCACAGAGATTGTTTAAACATTCATACTGATGACACAACTGTTCGAAAATATGCAGTTCCTTGTAGTTATATGTGGAATTAACTGCATATGGAGGAAGTCATCTTTTGAAACTGGATTAAAAGGAAATAGTTCATAACTCAGTGATATCAACATGCACACCATTGTGCCTGGGACTCAGCTTCACCTAGTCTTTCTTATCTCAGCCACTGTCTGAAGACATTGCTTTCTTGCTTAAGGCATCACAACTGAAGTATGTAGCTCTGTGAAGGAAAAAAAAAAAAAAATTCTGGGTCCAGAATGGAAGCGATGTCACTTCACCCCATGTGGTACTGTTGGGAGTCTCTTTCTGACCTTGGATTCTGGAGTTCAGCTCACGTGTGTCCGCCCCTTTGTGGAGGATGCAAAGAGCTGGTCCCTCTCTACGTTTCAGTTCCTTCAGAGTAATGTAGCCAGTGTTTGGGAGCACAGTTTCCTCCCTCATCACACATCACAGTTCAATATTCAGCCTTAAATGAATTACCCAGAGTTCTTAGCAGGGCATCTTGTTAACCACAAAGCAGTTAGAGGGCTATGTTTAGAGAGAAACGGCTTATCTCTTTCACTCCAAGGCAAATCAGCAGTCATTTCCTAGAGATGGTCTTAGCATGGCTCTGGGGCTCCAGTTTCCCTACGATACAATCAGCCCTCAACCAAGGCTACATAAAGTGGTGGCACTCCCCCGTATGTCTTACTCATGGCAGTAATCACACTTTTAGTACATCTGTTGTTTTTAAATTTCCAGTCCCTATTAATTCTTCCTTTTTTTCTTTTTTAAGATATGAGGAGTTGAGAATACCCATATTCACTTTGAAGTACCCTCACTTAAATGAGAGATTTGGGAAAAAAATCGAGACATGAGGCAACCCTGAAAATATGAATAAAAGAATATAAATATTTCTCTAGCCTCTCTAGTCTTCATTAAAATACACAAGAGGAAGAAACTGGTTTGCCCTTCTATATTTAATTTGGACTCTGACCTCTTTGAAAACTTCAGCAATATGATTAATTTTAGCTTATCTTCTGGAATGTCTCTCTACCTATAAATAAGTCTATTCATCTTCAGAAGAGCATAAATATCCCTCCTGTTTTACAGTTATTTTAAAATATCTCTTACATATAATTGTAATGGGATCTATTTCCAGGACAATAGCTAAGTATCAGTTACATTTCCATCATGCTCTATTAGTTTCATGGTTGGAAAACTTAAGGAAAAATAAGTCTCTTTGGATGAATATGAATCCAGCGTTAATCGGAGTAGCATGAATAATTCAAAGAGCAAAGAGACCCTGATATTCGATCTAACAAGACCAAAAAGAATAAGAAAAGAGAAGAGAAGGAGACAGAGAAGGGAAGGGAGAGAAGAAAAAGAAGAGGAGGAAAAGAAGGAGAGCTTGGGAGCTTTTAACTTCAGGTAAAGGGATAAAAAATTCCTTTATTACATTTTTTATGTTATCCCACATAAGGTTGGAAAATCAGAAGAGCCTTTGCTACACTTCATTAGTGTCTGATTTTCCACTTTTCTATCTCCCAGAGCCTGCAGGTTCATGTGAGGTCCACGTAGCCACATAGGAAAGCGCTTTGCCTACATGAACACACTAAACCCAGCATTGCATTATTTGATGCCTTGAGGCAGGGGATGTTAAAAATTATTTCCAGTGTGAAGTTATCTTCAAATAATTAATAGTACTTACAACAATAATCTATGCTTCAAACTGGTGATAAAAGCAGCCTGTTCAAGGAGAGATGGCATATTCAGCTATTAAAAATCATATTGCTATGGGAAAAAGTTAAGTATCTGATATTTCTAGGGCCACAATTCATTTCCTATATTTGAATTCGAACCTTTAAAATGAAAACTTACACATGGAGAATTACACTTGGGACTCACACATGGGAAATGAATTACCAGTTTTTTTGCTTTCTAGGACAATCCCCCATTGGAAGAACGGACTTTCCATCAGGAGACAAAGGACATGCTTTTCTCCGGAGAAATATCTCCCCATTGATAAATAATGAGCAAACGCAGAACACTTAAGTAGTGTTCCCGCCAGTAGTGCGAGCCGTGTCAGCACTAACCAGCTGGTCCTTGTCTCTTTTGCAGTCAAAGAAAATGGGAACTCAGCATGTATCCGAGTTCCCAAGGATAGGAAGATTCGAGCTGCCAGGTGTGCACGTGGGCAGAATGCCCAACTCCAGGTCATCTTACAAAAAACCTTGCTCAGGCATGGCCAGCAAAGGAAAGCAAGCAAAAGGCCACCGTTGCTATTTCTGCAACATGGTTACTCTCTGCAAGACATCCTTGTGGTGGTTTTTTTTTTTTTTTTTTTTTTTTCCCCCCAGTTGTTAAATAAACGTTCAGGGAGCACATTAGAGTCATGAAAGAAGGTTGGAATGGCGGGCAGTTCAAGTGTCGTGATTTCTACCATTCATGAAATCAACACAATTCTTTCAGTAATCAAAGGTGCGTTCAGAGGAACCAAGAATGTGGCAGGCAGGGGTATTGAGTGAGGAACTGCCAAATAACTGTCACCTTTGGCCCATTTGCTTCTATCTACACCATCTAGGAACGGGGATCGTATTTATTAACACACTTTTCAGGCAGAGCTTTCAAGTATTCGCATGTAATTATTGCGGAGCAAATCTTGGGCAATCCACTTTGCTTTTGTCTAACCCAGAAACGTAAACTGGAATGAGAGTGATTTTCTGCATAATTTGATCCAATGGAAGAATACTCTGGCGTCACGTGGTGATGTCAAGGTTCTTGCAGCTCATGCCTTAGAACCCAGTTACATGGGAGACCATGTTTGAACAATGTCCTTTAAAGAATTCAGTAACTAAAACCCACTGGAAATGAGCCAAGACAAGCCTCTTGAATGCCAAATTCCACTCTAGTGGGTCAAGTTATTGGATGGCTCAAATGAATTTGGGCCAGGAAAAAAAGGGCCTCCTTTCCCTCAATAGTTGGTTTTTTGTCTGAATTATCCAGATAATGGCTTTACTTTTCAACTTTCTTTTGCCTGCATGGAGTAGAAAGGCAACGCTACTTTTTTGTCTTTTGTTGTAATAGAATTATTACCTGTAATTCTCAGAAGTCATTCTCATGAAAATGGGTAACTTTTGTATATATCAAAAAGAGCCACCTAATTTATAATAGTGATTTATGCTTTTATAATTTTTTTATTTGTTCATTGTGATTCATTCAGCAAATATTTACTGGACAAACAAAAGACATATTATCCTTATGTATCATGCCCATTGTTTCAGAAATCTACCAGCTGAAAAATCTCTTAAGGATTATGAAGCACCAGGAAAAGGTGAAAAAATTTTGGAAAAGTTTTCCTGCAGAGGCTATGTTTTTTTAAAAACAAAAAATTCACCTCATAAGGCTCATGTATACTTTGAAGCTGACTTGGCACCTTTTGCTTGAAAAGATTTCAGGTATTAACATTTAATCCTGACTTTAGTCCCCACACCCCAGATACACTGTATCTCTCCTTGAAGACTGGAGAAGTGGAAACCTTTATATTGTGACTTTTCCTTCACTGGATGATCATTTAGATCCAGGACACTTGTCTCTGACCTACTCAACTCACCAGGTCATCCTGTAAAGTCAGAAAATATGAAATAAGGCTACAGGGAAGGTGGAGTTTTCTTTCTGTCTCACCTCTCATTTCCGCTCTCCCAATTCCCCTTCCCAAACTCAGCAGACCATTTGAAAAAGAAAGCAACTCATACTCCAAGGTAACCCATATGTTATGTATCTCTTTTTCTGCTTTGGTACTGATCACTGCTGTCTTGGCTCTTATAATAATAACAACAAATAACAAATAGATATCTCCCTGCTGAATAAAAGAAGCTATGTTACCCAAGGGTCAGAGGGAAGGAAGTTATGTCCTGAGGATGCTAAGTTTTGATGTTAGGTTTGAGGATCCTTTTGAGGGCTTTAAATATGGTCTTCAGTGACCTGGCAGTTGGGAATTGAGGGAAGAGGGTGGACAGTCACAGGTACATGACAATAATGCTTGGAGACTCAACTGTTATTTGCCTGGGTGTGTTACTGCTCTCATGAGCGAGAGCTACGCAACTCCAGCTCTTCAGAAGGGGTCAAGCAGAGGACAGAAAATGTTGTGGGGAGATTCAAGCATCAGATGAGTAGATAGACTGGATGATCGTAAGTTGTATGAATTCCAATTAAAATTTTTGTTTATTGTTGCAATTTTTCATCCTTTGTTTATGGGAGAGAATGTAAAATATAATGCACATATAGAAAAGTACATAAATCAAACCCCTGCAAAATCACCATTTAGGTAAAAAACAGAACATAGCCAGCACCTCAGAAGTCTCTCCATGACCCTTAATGATCACATGCCCACCATTCTGACTTTTATGGTAAACCCCTCTTTCTTTTAATAGATCTATTCCTTAAATATGGATCTCTAAGCAATATGGTTTAATTTGTTTGTTTTCTAAACTTTATATAAGCAGAACTAAATACTTGTGTGTTTTGCTATTTTTATTCAGTTTTCTGTTTCTGATTGGCCCATGCTGTTAGATATAGTTGTCCTTCATTCATTTTTGTGGCCGGATTCAGATTAAGTTTGACAGGTGAAGGCTTAGGCAAGTCCTGAGCCCCCGTGACTTAGTACTTCAGCGGGACTGGTTACTTGTGTCCAGGGTTCTGTTGCAGAGAACAGAATCCTCTCTAGGTAGAGATTTACTGCAGGTTTTTAAGTGGCATGTAGATCGTTGAAAGGGCAGACAGTCTCTAGGGGGACCTTTTGGTAACCTTCCTCCCCTCTCCCCAGTCCCACCACAGTACTTGGCACCCACACATCTCCTGCCACTCAGAACTTGGTCACCGCCTTGACCTTGAAGCCACTGCAATCAGAAGCTTACATGAGTAAGAAGGTACCATGCTTACAAAGCCACGAATGCTGCAGATTCCAGACCATTCTATGATACAAACTTCACCAGCAAAAATGGACACCCCTTGCTTTTCTTCTTGATACCTGTGAAAAGCACCTATGCTAATGACTAAACCTCTGTTGTCATTGCCAAGAAAGACCAAACACTTCCATGACACACTTGCCAGCAGAAATAGCAAAAGCAATACAAGAGCATTGGGTGTGCAGAGCCAAAAACACCTGGAACGTTAGCTGAAGTGGGTGGAAAATGCAGTCTTTAGCTTTCTAGCCTCTGTTATACAGGAAAGCACATTACGGCAATGGCTTTCACTCTGGGGATCAGGACTCATCATTAGTGAATCATGAAAGCACTGAAAGAAATAAAATAGAATAAAAATTTCAGAGGGCATCAGCGTAGTAAGGGTAAGTTATGTTTTGTGCAACACACACATACGCATGTACTGCACTGCAATGTAATATGTTTTTCTTTAAAAAAAAGTTTGAAAGCCGCTACACTGGAAGGGGAGTGGAATAGATGCTAAGTGCCAATCAACCATAACCACCACACTCCTAACTGTTGAACATGGATGTAATAAATGTGTTCAATAATGAGACACTTGGCAAGTCTTGCTGGCCAGTGTAATCTAACAATCCACTCTGGAGCATCTTTGTGTCTGGATTACCCTTTTAGCCCGACCAATTCAGAGGCATGAGGCAATGCTGGCAGCTTGGATCAAGTCCCCTCCACAGATTCCTTAACTTCAGCTAAGATCATCTCCAGAAAAGAGATGATCTTGGCAATCTGTGTGTTGGAAAGAACTGGGAGAGTGCTATGACTACTGCCACAGGTGTTTGTGTCTACCTGCCCCCCTTTTCAAGGCATCCTCTGCGAATCCCAAAGTGATCTTTCTGAAACACAAATCTGATTATTTCACTCTGTTTTAAAGTATTCAGTAGCACCCTCTGACTTATAGCAGTGATCTCCAAACTTGAGGTGTTTGTTAAAATACAGACTCCCAGATTTTCCTCAGAGATTCTAATTTAAATAACATTGTGATGGGGTCTGGGAAACTGCACTATTAGTAGGAACCCCTAGTGAATAAAAAATCCAGACTCCTTAGCATGTTTGGTCCCGTACCACGCTGGTCCCGCCTCAATTTTTCCTGCCTTGCCACCAATCCCCCTTCCCTCCTGCACCCTCCCTTCTTGCGGACAGTGAACTACTTCTGTGTCCTTTGTACTTTATGCTTTTATACCTACATTATCACATGCTGTTTCTTCTAACTGGAACATTCTACTTATCCTCACTCTCATCAAATATCTCCCAAGCTTCCATTCACCTTAAAGGACCCAGCTCCAATATTACCTCTCTAGGAAACCTTCTCTTATATGCAAATAAAGTTTATGTTCCTTTGATACTCCACATATTTAATACTTACCTGCATTATAATACATTGTTGTATTATAATCACCTTGAATTGCAATTACTTGTTGACATTATTTTCCCTATAAAAAGCAGGAGCGTATTAGATATAAGCACTGTCTTATGTCTTTTTTTTTTTTTTTTTTTTTAATCTCCACAGCCTGGCACCATGTAAAAGTACTTTCAATACTTACTCAGTGAATGGATGATAGATGGATTGATAGATGGATTGTTAAATGAAAAGAACTGCTTCTCTAAGGTATGGTTTCTCTTTTGATATTGGTCTTCAACAGAGGTTAGAACTGTTGCTGCTGGAACAGCTGATCTTCTGTCAGGGTAGCTGATGCCTTTGGAAAACAAAATGAACTACATGTTAAGACCGCGTTCTATGGATTCAGCGTGAGTCATCCATAGATGTCAGGCTGGTGGGTGGAGGTTCGATTAGGAGCTAAACATTGGTGCTGTCTCAAAATATCTTCCCACAAAATGCTTATCAGTCACAAGAGGAAAAATGGTGACTTTATAGTGGAGAAACTTGGTGGATATCAACTTGATCCAGTGAACAATAACCTCACTTGTTGTGGGACAGATTAACCTTGTGTGTCTCTTGATGTGATATCCCAAGAAAAGCATATCATAGCCTTTCGCTGCAAAGAAAATATGGCCTGATTCTGGACATGAGACAAACTCAGGTAAAGGAATATCTACAGACTGAAAAGGTGGAAAGACTAAAAAATGATTCCAGATTGAGTGATATTGGAAATCCATTACAATTAAATGCAATGCATGATCTTGGATTGGCTACTGGACCAGAAAAAAAGAGACATTGTTGGGATAGTTGGAAAAACTTGAGAGTGTTCTGTGAACTGGATGGTAGAGTTGTGTTGATATTGTTTTCTGATTTTGGTTGTACTGTGGTTGTGTAGGAGACTGTCTTTGTTTTGGAAAGATAGACACTGGAGGAAGTGAGAGTGATGAATCATTGGGCCTGCAGTTACTGCTTAAATGGTTTAAAAAAGAATTATGATAATATATATGTGTGTCTATCTATCTATCTATCTATCTATATATACATGGAGAGAGAGAGGTAGAACAAATATGGTAAAATGTTAATAATTGAGAAATCTGGGTAAAGAGAATATGGGAGTTCTCTGCACATGTCTTAAAATTTTTCTGTATTTTTGAAATAATTTCAGAATAAATTATTGGCTTCCTCTTGTGGCTGAGATAGAATGACAGGGATCAAATTTACCTTCTTGCCTCAAACAACTGCCAAGGCAACTTGAATTTGTAAGATAGAGTACCTGGGTCAGAGGAGAGAGCTGCATAGCGAACTCTGGAGATCTGCAGAGACCCTAACCCTAACCCTAACCCTAACCTTTGAGCATTTAGCAGGGTACTGATCAGCTTATGTATATGAGAAAACTGTCCAAGATTGGAGAAAACATTAACAAAAATGTATTCAACGCTCATAAAGGACCAGTTACAGTGTCTGTTCCCACCAGCCAGACTGAAAAACCTCATAATTCATGGGATATTGGGTAGAGTAGTTAGAAGGGTCTTGCCTCAGTACTAAGGGACACATTACCAAGATTAAATGCTGCTCTGGTCCAGGCTAACAAGTCTTAAAAAGCAAGACACAAAATGATCAAAATGTTTCCAAGAAACTTAACTGCATACCACAACAAAGCTTAAGACTGTTTATGGGTATACAAAAATATTTAGGAGCCAACAAGGTAAAATTCACAATGTCTGGTATCCAACAAAAGAGTAATAGGCATTCTAAGAAGCAGAAAAATGTGACCTATAATGAGGAGAATAATCAATCAATTAAAACCTACACAGAACTGACACAGATGTTAGAATTAGCAGGTACAGACATTAAGTTATTATAACTATATTCTGAAAGCCCCCCAAATAGAGATACAGAACATATGAAAAACAAATACAAAAAATTGAACAACTAGAGCTAAAAACTACAATGTCTGAGATGTAAAAAAAAATACACTGGATGGAATTAATAGCAAATTAGACATTACAGAAGAAAAAATTAGTGAATTTGAAAACATAGCAATAGAAGCAATCCAAGATGAAATGCAAAATGAAGATGATGAGCTTCAGTAGCTTTGAGACAACTTTTAACATCTGAATATACCTCTAATCAGAGTCCCCAAATGAGAGGTTGGTGAGAGAGAAAAAAAAAATAGTTGAAGAAATGACTGGAAAGTTCCAAATTTGATGGCATCTAAAAACTACATATCTGAGAATCCTAATGAACTTCAGCACAAGAAACATAAAGAAAACTACACCAAGACATATGGCAATCAAATTTCTCAAAAGTAGTGATAAATAGAAAATCTTAAAAAACAGCTCTAGAAAAACTATATCACATACAGAAGAACAAAGATAGGGAACATCACAAACTCCTCATCTGACACAATACCAGCAAGATGACAGTGGAGAAACACCTTTAAAATACTGAAGGAAAAATAACTATCTACCTAGAAGTTTATACCCAGTGAAATAAAGACTTTTTCAAAGGGAACCCTCTTACACTGTTGATGGGAATGTAAATTGGTGCAACCATTATGGAAAACAGTAGGGTGGTTCCTCAAAAAACTAAAAATAGAGTTGCCATATGATACAGCAATCCCACTCCTAGGCATATATCCAGACAAAGCTATCATTCAAAAAGATACATGCACCTCTATGTTCATACCAGCACTATTTACAATAGTCAAGACATGGAAACAACCTAAATGTCCATCAACAGATGAATGGATAAAGAAGATGTGGTATATATATATACAGTGGAATACTACTCAGTCATGAAAAAGAATGAAACAATGCCATTTGCAGGAACATGGATGGACCTAGAGATTATCATACTGAGCAAAGTAAGTCAGAAGGGAAAGACAAATACCATATGATACCACTTATATGTGGAATCTAAAATATGACACAAATGAGTGTATCTACAAAACAAAAACAGACTCACAAATATAGAGAACAGACTTGTGATTGCCAAGGGGGGTGGTGGGGGAGGAGGAGAGGAAAAAAAGACTTTTTCAATCACCTAAGAGCTGAAAGAATTTATCACCAGCAGCATCTCAGTATAAGAAATGTTAAAGGAAGTCCTTCAAGCAGAAGGAAAATGTTACCAGATGAAAATTTGGATTTACTCAAAAGAATGAGGAGAACCATACATGGAAACTCTGGGGAAATAGATTATTTTATTATTATTTAAACTCCTTTAAAATATTCGATTATTTAAACAAAAATTACAGCTATGTGCTATGGGGCATACGTATAAGTAAAATGGATAAAAGCAATATCATAAAGGCTAGGAAGGGAGAAATGGAAGCATACTATATAAATGGATAATATGGGAATATGTTGAACAATTCTATGTCAATAACTTCAACAATGTAGATGAAATAGATAAATTCCTTGAAAGACACAAACTACCAAAGTTCACAAAAGAAGAAATATATAACCTCCTTAGCATTATATGTATTTTAAAAATTGAATTTGTAGTTAAAAACCTTCTCATAAAGAAATTCCAAGTTTAAGTGGCATCACTACCAAATATTTAGGGAATAAATAATACTAATTCTACATAAACTCTTCCAGAAAACTGAAGAGAAGGAAATACTTCCTATCTTGTTCTGTGAGCCCACTACCAAAACCAACCAAAGACATTACAAAATAAGAAAACTACAGATCAAGATTCCTCATGAACATAGATAAAAAATTTGAAACTAAATTTTAGAAAATCAAATCCAAGCATATATGAAAGGCATAGTACATCATGACCAAGTGAGGTTTATTCCAAGAATGCAAATTTGGCTTAACGTTAAAAATCAATCAGCGTAATTCATCATATTAACACAAAAAAAGAAAAACCATATCATCATCTGAATATATGCAGAAATAGCATTTGACAAAATCCAGCATCCATTCCTGATGAAAACTCTAAGCAAACCAGTAATAGAGAGAATTTCTGCTTACTCTGATAAAAGACATCAAAGAAAACCTACAGCCAGCACAATACTTAATGATGAAAGACTGAATGCTTTCCCACTACATTCAGGAAGAATAAAAAGATTTGCCTTCTCATACTCCAATTCAACACTGTACTAGAGGTCTGGTCAGAGCAATAAGGCAAGAAAAAATGCATTTATTTTGGAAGGGAAAAAGCAAAATTGTTTTTAATTCAGAATGCATGATTGTCCATGTAGAAAATCTGATAAAAATCTACAAAAACACTCTTAGAACTAACAAGTAAGTTTAGCAACTTTGAAGGATAAAAGACCAGTACCAAAATCATTTGTATTTCTGAATTTCTATATTAATAACTGGAAACTAAAATTAAAAAATGCTATTTAGAATAGCATTAAAAATATAAAATACCTAGGGATAAATCTGAAAAATATGGTAAGCCTTGTACACTAAAACCTATAAAATATTTCTAAGGGAAATGAACTATGACTTAAATAATTGGAGAGATATACCTTATTAATGGGACTTAAGGTTCAATATTATTAAGATGATAATTCTCCCTAAATTGTAGATTCAGTGCAACACCAATAAAAATCTTAGCAAGCTCTTTTCTTTTGATAGAAATTGGGAAAATGATGCTAAAATTCATATAGAAATGCAAAGAACATAGAAAACCCAAAACATCTTTGAAAAAGAAAAAGAATGTTAGATGTCTTATACGACCTTATTATAAAGACTTACTGTAAAGTCTATATAGACTTACTCTGAAGTTAAAGTAATGAGGGCACTGTGGCATTGGTTCACATATAGACAAATAGGTCAGTGAAACAGATCAGAGAATGCAGAAATAGATCCACATATATAACAACTGATGGATTATGGACAAAACAAATGTGGACAAGTAATATTCAACATAGGTGCAAAGGCAATTCAGTGGAGGAAAAATAGTCTTTTCAACAAATTATGCTGGAAAACATTAAAATAAACCCACGAAAACAAAACTTGGATCCACACCTAAAGCCATATTAAAACATGACTTAAATTCATTAACTCAAAATAGATCATAGATTTAAATGTAAACCTAAAACTATAAAAGTATAAAAACATAGACAGGGCTTCCCTGGTGGCGCAGTGGTTTGGAGTCCACCTGCCGATGCAGGGGACACCGGTTCGTGCCCCGGTCTGGGAGGATCCCGCGTGCCGCGGAGCAGCTGGGCCCGTGAGCCATGGCCGCTGGGCCTGCGTGTCTGGAGGCTGTGCTCGGCACCGCGAGAGGCCACAACGGTGAGAGGCCCGCATACCGCAAGAAAAAAAACCAAAAAACAAAAATAAAAAAAACATAGACAAAGATATTTTAGGTAGATACATTACATACATGATCTATAAAAGAAAAAAAAGGTAGTGATGGGGCTTCCCTGGTGGCGCAGTGGTTGCGAGTCCGTCTGCCGATGCAGGGGACACGGGTTCGTGCCCCGGTCCAGGAAGATCCCACATGCCGCGGAGCGGCTGGGCCCATGAGGCCGCAACAGTGAGAGGCCCGCGTACGGCAAAAAAAAAAAAAGGTAGTGATGAATCAGCAGAACCTTCAACATTAAAGACTTGTGCTGTTTACTCAGCTTTACAAGTAAGTATTAAAGTGTTGGACAAAAAAATCCATCCTATGGAAGGTGTCCTGCCCATGTGCTCCATTCCTTCCTGCTGTTTGGGTCCCTGAAGCTGCCCTGGTTCATGTCCTTTCTGAGTCCTGGTTTACATGTTTCTTCAATCCATTGAACATCCCCAAATCTTTCCATTAAGTTCCTTTCTCTGCTCAGAATCTCTTTCCGTTGATTGCAACCAAAAACCCTTAACTGATAACGTCTTGTTAAATTAGATATTCAAATCTTTCCATTTCCCTGGTTAGAGCAAAAGGTGTATCTTTAGATTTCAGTTGAATGAATACAATAACTAAATCTAGATAAAATGACCATGGTTTCCTCTTATGAAACTCAAGAGGAAACAGGTGGTGGGGGGGGAGATATACTGCAATTCCGTACACCCAGGCTGTATTAATGGGAATAATTTGGGGGGAGGGGGTTCTGACTCTGTAAGGTTTTGTTTATCCCCAGTGCCTATCAGTGTGCCTACCACATTCTAGGCATAAAGTCAAAGAGCACACTCACCATATCCTTCCAGCAGCATCACTGCTGTGAGGGTGCCACAATTTGAAGGCTAAATTCTTCATTGGAAAATACTCGGAAGTTATTTTGCCAATTACAGGGAGGTTTTGTTCTTCCGTATCACCCACAAATCATTATCCTTACCTTGCATTCTTGTTAAGTAAATTAAAGTTCTATTGCATGGACTGCCAATGACCTTGCACTGGACTGTCGTTTTATGACCCAACTCTTGGTTTTACTTTCATATGAAAATAATAACCGAGGTTCCCAAATGCCAGATGATTTGAACTAGTACAGCAGTTTTGGCAATTTCTTTTAAAGAAGCATGAACAACATATGCCTTCAAGATTCAAAGCATCTGCTGAAAGCATTTACACTTTGCATCCTTGATCTGCGAGCAGACTGTAGAATAATCCTCTGCCACCTGAGTAGGGGTGGTGTGTCTGGACGCTCTGCAGGTATTATAGAATCTGCATTTCTTGCCCTTAGAATTAGCAAATGCTCTACCTGTATGTGAAAGAGAGCATTTCTAGCAGAAGTGGTCTCTTTAATGTCCAATACACGTAACAATGTAGTTTCACTGTCTTTTGTGAGACCATTACAAATATGAAATCCCATTCAATCAGTAGGTGCATTTTGCTTCAGGCCAAATGTGGCATTCCATCCAAGAAGCCCCTAAAGTGCAGTGTTCAGATGGCAACAAGCTTTCTACCATGAATATAAATAGCAGCCTGCCAACCAGGCTTTTGATTCCTTTTTGGTGAAGTTGATAGCTCTGAACAATGATGATTTTCAGGTAGTCAGTACACTGCTAATAATCCCATGAGCTCATCAAGTAGTCTAGTCTTATGTGAAGCAGAATACTTCTTACTGTGATAAATTGCTGGAGTCCCATAAATGGTCAGAAATGCAGTACACATATATTGAAGGGGCACTAATTTTGTTTGCTTCAAGAGAGTTGAAATGCCTCCCTTTGTCATAGAAATCCCAGAAAACAGGAGAAATGATATCAAGCTTGTTCATATGCCTCCAAACTGTCATTTAAAAAAAATTCACCAGTTCCAGGGTTTGATTATAAGTATTTTTAATGAATGGAATTAATATTCATTGAAGCATTACCAATCATTCTTGAAAATGGATTTGCATTGTCGGTCTTCTAGTTGTGCTTAAGATGACATTTGTGTCCTCAGAAAAGATATTCAACATCTGCAAGTATTACAGGTAGAACTTGACTTCTTCAAAACTCCTCTGGCTCCCTCCATCCACCCTGTAGCCTAAATTTACTGCATCCTGCAAGGTCAGGAAGACAATTAGACCAAGTTTTCCCTCCTTACCGCCAACCCCACCTTCATCGGCCACTGTACTCACTGGCATACGTAATGATAACAGTTCTTTATTTGCCAAGTGTATTTTAAGCCATCAACATATAGAAGCCACTCTTCTGAACCTCCTGTGGCAGCAGTTCCTTAGAATTGCAAAAAAAGGCCATCTGTTGTCTCAACTATCTGTGGAGCTGGAGTGAAGGCTTAACTTAATGCTCTTCAGCAGAGCAATAGGAAAACATCCATCACGCAGTGACAGGTTAGCTCGTCTGCCCCAATGAACGGATGTCTGCAATTGCACACATTAAGGAAACAGAGTTGATCACCCTAAGGATACAATAAAATCTCAGAACTTCAAGCAACTAAGGACTACTGCAAAGGGGCCAGATTCTTCCAGAACGCAAAAGCTATTTGCTAATTGTATATTTGGTGCATTCCACATTCACTTGAAACTCTCAGGCCTTGGTATTGCTGACTGGGTGGGCGCTCTGGGGTCCTTGATGTGTTGGACTTTTGAGTTTTCCATTCCTGAAGTAGAATTAGCAAAATGACTCTGATTGCTCGCCCTGTGGGGAGGCAAGCTGGTTTTGCCTGCCCACATAGAAGACCTGGGAGAGTGGGGAGAGGCAGGCTCCATGATGGGACGGATGCAGGCAGGGTTTCTGTGCAGTTTAGTTTGTAGCACTTTCCTCTGATCTCTGACACTCAAACTTCCTCTTTTTCTCATTTTCTCACTTGCCCAGAAAATAGAAGTCTTCATACAGGATCTTCTTAAATTTCCCACCACTGAACCTGTAAACCTGTTTTTATTCACACTCATTCTTCTCACCTTGTTATAAAAAATAAGCACTGCCAATATTTATTAAGCAATTATGTACCAGGCAGTGTCTTGAATACTTTCCTGATATAAACTCAATTAATTCTCAAGCAGCTCTGTGAGATAGGCAACTGTATGGTCAACAAAATGTTGGTGAGGCCACTCAAGGGCAGAGTCCCAGCAACTTGTTTAGTCACACAGCTGGGAGGTTGCAGAGCCAGGCTTCAAACACAAGTGTTGTGACTGCAGACCCCGTCTTATCTACCACACTGTCCGGAATGAGGAGACCCACCTGCTGTTGATTAATGCCTCGCGCTCTGCTCTCATGTCATCCTTCTGGAAAGATGATTGAGTGTCCACTCCGTGCCAGGCACTGGGCTAGGTCCTGGGGATAGAATAGTACACAAAAATAGGTATTAAAGAAGTAGACACATTAACTCATATGTAATGAATGACAATGATGTGAGAAAGGAATACAAGACTGGGAGCGCACATAATAAAAGGACCTCGACCTAATCGATGAGGCTTCCCAGAAGAAGGGCTATTTATGCTGGACAGTGGAGGGTGGATAGGAGTTACCTTGGGGAAAAGGAGCAAGAACAGTCATTATGGAGGAAAGCAGATGTCAAAGATGAGCCCCCAGCTCACTCACTATTTTTGGAAGAGGACACGTAAGCAATTTCCTGATATTTTCCCTTGACTGGAAGTAATTTTATTATATAGTATTTAATATATTTTGTATATTTAAATAGTTTAACAAATATATAAAAATACATACTAAAATAAATGTATATACAAATATATAGATGAATAGAGATATATGTGCATACACACATGCATGCGTGTGTATGTGTGTGTGTGCATGTGTGTATCTCTATCCAAAAGCAGGAAACCAGAAAACCAACCCTGAAACGTTAAGAAATGTCATGATAGAGAAAAATGAACTAGGGGCCAGAAGTTCATGATTCTAGTACTGGCTCCGCCATTAACAATCTGGGTGACCCTGGCCCTTGGTTTCATGTCTGTAAGACAGAGATGGACCCGCCTTGGTTTAGTCCCCACAGGCACTGCAAGGATTCAATGATATAACCTACAGAGGGGAACAAGCTTTGTAAACATTTCCATGTTCTGGCTAGGAGCTTTGGAAAATGCTAGTTCAGTGGAGATTCCAGGGAAGTTTGCTTCAGTTTCCTCTGCATTATTGGATTTCTTGTTGGAAAAAAAAAAAAAAAAAAAGTGTGTGCTTTGTGAACCAGGATTTCGGAGCCCCAGACTTCCTTAAGAAGCACAGCATACGTCCCCGAGGGTATACGGTACACACTCCCCTTTTAACAACTTTGCATTTCACTTAAGCTCAGCGTTTCTGCTTCAAAATGAATGCCACCCTGCAGCTGGTGTTGGCTGGTCTTAGTTCATTTTGTGTTAGTGATTAACACAGCTGAAATTGGTTGGAAAAGGAGGAGAATGCTGTTCTGCTTGATAAAAATAAAATACATTCTTTCAATAGAGGAAGTGAACAGAAAGCAAGCAATCGACTGGGGAGCAGGAGGGTGGTCTTACAACTTCAGAAGGGAATTTAAAGTTTGGCATTGGATGCCACTGGCTTCCAGTCCTAAATGGGACATATTGAACTGTGTGTCTTGGATGTATACACACAGACGCACACACACACGCACGCGCACACATGCATACACACATATACATGCTTATGTCTCTGTACAGATATGTAAACATGTGTACTTATATTCGTAACGCACCCCTTATAGAGTTCAATGGTTTCTGAACTGCACTGGTGTACAGTTTTATGCTTTGAGATGATTTTTCTGTTATTTTAAGAAATTGGAACTTTTAGCTATTCTAAATTTATTTCTACTGTTTTAAGTCAGGAGGTTTAGTTGTAAGCAGCAGACAGAAAGCCATTCTAGGAGGAGAATTTATTAAAAGGCTTTTGAGTAGCTCACGGATTTGTCAGATAACTTAGCCTGATTCTCAGCTCCACTACCAGGAACAGTGCCCAGAATCCAACTGTGGAACTGCTCTGGGGAGGATGTCACAGTGACTCCGAGGCCCTGCAGCTGGCACGTCTTGGGCTGCCAGCTCTGAGAACTGGACACTGCCTCTGGCATTACCAGCTCCGCTGGCCCAGGACCTTGATTACCCTGTAGCTACCACCACGGCCAGAGTCTTCCTCACCATCCAAGCTCCTTGTATCACAAATTCCAGATTCTAAGTCTGTGATGGATGCATCTGATTGTGGGAGCCTGGGTCACATGTTTGGGCCCTCACTGTAGAGAAATTTGGAAAACAATGAATATACAGCATTTTCAGCTTCTCTGCTGCTTAATAACCTGGCCTTCCACCAAGAATCCCAAGGCAGAGAAGTTTGCAAATATGGGTAAGGAATTCAGATACTTTCTGGGCAACCAAAAAAGAATGACAAATGTCCACTGTGACAGAGTAGTGCTAACAACTGCCAACTCCAAATTCAGAGGGTTGAGCCTGGCTTCCTTCCCGAAGAAACTCTTTGAGAAAGGAATCTACACACTGAATTCCTGGTCTCAGGAAGAGTTGCAGTCTCCCAGGAATACCCTGATATATCACAACAGGAAGAAAGCAATACAGCACATGCCTAAGAAGCAGCTATTTCCATGAAGGTTTAAACAACAGAAACCCGAATAAAGAACAAAAGCAGAACCATTGATATAAAACATATGATACGTTTCAGCTGAACTATCAAAACATCTCTCACTTTTTTTCCAAAAAACAATGTTTTAGAAATGACCCATCTACTGTCTCCAGAAGGAGATGACTTTTATCCAAAGGCAATTCGGTTTCTTCAGGTTCACGAAACGAGCACTTCCTGCCTTCCGCTGTTCCACTACGGTGACAAATTCATTCGGTGAGTTGTAGAAAGCTCCTGGTCCTTCCATGAAGTTTGCTATGCCATAGGTCAAATAAGAAGGCCTGTTGCCTCTGGAATTGTCATCTCTTAGACCATCTGTAGTAGTTCCTCAGTATTCTTGAGAAAAAAAAGGAGGGGGGGACAACAGCCTCTATAAAGTAGTAGTTATGCTCTACATGGAGCCCCCTCGTTGACGCTGGTGAGGAGCTATGTTTGGGTGAGGGGTCTCAGTTAAACAAACCTCTGTGAAGGCCCGGCTCGGGCATACCCGCTGTATCCTCATGCCAAGATCTTCCCGGAAGGAGTCTTCTGAGGATTTAGGTCTCTGAGTGTGGAAAGCTGGTTGGGAGCCAGCACACCTTCTCCGAAGGCACAGAAACATTAGGGTGCAGTATCAAACAGCCTTTCTTTCTTTACCCAGTCTCCGTTCACCCTTTGGAAAAAATATTTTAATATCAATTTTAACATCCCACGATTGCAGAGTGACCACCTGTCACCTCTCACCACAGATCAACAACCGCAGTCCCCCAGAGTCTCTGGCAGAAGGTCCTGCTTGCAGAGGAAGCAATTCGGCCGGCCTCTGGAAGGCAGCCGAGCAGCAGCAGGAGGCCTGTTAAATCCACAATTGTAGGCTCTCGGGGTGGGCATTTTCTTGTGGCGTATTAAGTAACACACCTACTCAAGTTACTGTGTGAACTCAGTGGACAGCTGCCTTTTCAGTGAGAAGCAGAGGCTTGCACTGCACTCTGCCCACCCCGCCCCCCACGTTCAAGCATAGATTCGTGAGACAGGGATGAACGGGAAAGAACAGTGAAAATGGAAGAACATCTGAATGAAGATTCCACCGGCCAGGAGTTACTCAATAATGGAGACCTGCAAGTGCTTGAGGGTTCACCCCAAAGTCACAACGAAATAAAGACTGCATGAACCGTAAGTCAAGATGGAAGCAGTTAGGAAGATCCAGTCAAAATGAAAATGGTCTCTATCTTCACGTTTGTCCAGGAAGAAACGCCCGAGGCAGGATGGAAAATGGTGGTTCAGAGGAAAGATGTTGAAGTCAGAAATACGTGGGTCCGAATTCCTTAAAGAGTCGGCATGACCTTGCACGTGTCTTGCTTAATCTCTCTAAGCTTCATTTTTCTCTTTCACGATGAAAATAGTATCGTGTCATCTCATAAGGTTGTTGTGGGAGATAAACGAGATAGTAAATATAAAACAGGTGATACCTACTAAGCACACACTTTATGGATCAGCTATTTTAATGTTTTCATGGCTAGTGGTAGACTAGTGTGGTTAAGACAGCCCTTTTTCCCCTGCTTGGTGAATGACATAGATATCTTTTCCTTTAAGGTAGTGTCATGTGCTATTCACATTTAATATTCTATTTCATAACATGTTTCTATTTAATGAAAAACTTAAAAAGAAAACTTCCACTCTGTGCCTCTTGCTTTGTGCTTTGCGAGGTAGATGCTTTCCTCATAAACTTCCTGAAATGAATTCTGATGGATTTAAATAGAAGAATTCCATGTGAGAGGGAAAATATAGTACCCAGAAAGGGAACCCGAGAAGGAAGGCAAGTAAAGAGAAGGAAAATGTGTGGAAATACCATTTACAGGAAGACCCCTTACCCTCCTGTCTAGACTGAGTAATATAACAATGACCAATATAGGGTGTCATAGAAATGCTAATGCATGATGGAAGTAATGATCGGACTTGAAGAGAGTTTACCTCTGCTTTTATTGTGTATTCCCTTCACAGCATAGAGTCCAACTTTCTGTGGTGAGGTAGAAGGGCATGAAATATAGATTGTCAGGCCTTTGGGGATTCTGAGGAATGAAAGGTACTTAACAAGGATAGAATTCATCCTGGGCTTATTATTACCTTGCCCTCTTCCGTCTCAGAGTCTCTTGTATCATGAAGTAAGTTTGGCAAGAAAGTAGGAGAGAGAGAGAGAGTCATTTTAAATGATGGAGCAGGAAGTCTGTTCCTGGGCAATTTTTGGCAAGTTTGAGGATAAACAAGGAGTGAGGTAATGAGACTAGCTCAGCAGTTCTCCAACTCTCTTATTTCCTACCCCTTCAGAGAGCCCGTCTGGTTTCTCCTGTTAAGGAGAGAGCTATAGGAATAGGTTTCCTTTGTTTTACCTCAGAAAGAAAATATGCTATGAGAGGCAAGAACAGGACCTAAGAGGACACAGGAGGTGAAAATGAGGGAGGGGGAGTCAAAAGGAAAGGGGGCCTTTGGCAGATGTGTGATTTGGAAAAAAAAAAACAGGAATCGGGTGATAATGTGGAAGGAAAAGAACTAATATACTTTACCACAAATTTCTGTTCAGAATTTGACAGCTCTGATTTCTTTAAACCTTTTGGAATTTCCCTACAGCCTTTCAACATATTGTGGTTCCCAACTTGAAGACATTTGACAAAAGGGTTATGAATGAACAATGGAAAAACTCCGTGCTCCAAACCTGAGATCAAAAAAGACTTTATTTCTGACATTTCCTACTTTAAAAAAGAAACCCCTTTTTTCATAGGGAGCACTAAAC